CGGGAGGGGGGGGGAGTACGGTAATCGCAGTGACATTTGCCGCATGCCGCAAGGGAGAATGCCGCGATAGGGGAGAAGTTCCGTTACCCGGGAACAGAGTGTACGACTGAGATGGATTAAAAACCGTGCAGTCATAGTCAGGCATTCGACTCAGGACCCACAGACTGAATTACTGTGCCACAGGATCAGCTGGCTTCGAGACCAGTCTGGGAGCGCGCTAACACTTGAGAGCGATGTTCAGAGTGAAATTTTACATATGATAGGGAGTGCATATCTTTAATGGCCAGCTTCTTACGACTGCATGCTATCAAGACTCTCAAGAATATGAAACACCGCACGTACACATCGCGTTACTATCGTGTTCACCGCTCACGACGGAAAAATGCTATCTACTTCTTTTTATAATTGTTCTGAAGAACCCTTTCAGAGATCCGAGATGGATTTTGATAGTGATCGCATTGCTACGCTTCAATTTCACCTGAGGATTACAACTTAAAAAAATGATCGTAGGCCCGGCTGCACCAGTGACACTTCAGTACTTGTAGATTAGAATTTCAACTGACGAACATGTGGGAATAGAGGTTTTATCATAAAAAACCACAACGTGGAAGCGTAAATCGAAAGAAACCGACCTTTTTCTAGGCTTCATCATTGCTGCGATGGTCTGATCTGTTCAGAACATCAAGGACCTTCCAGATTGCTCAAAAACGAATATTAGGTTTACGAGCTCAGCTTATTCAGGTCTCACAGAGCCCTAAACAGACACGAAATTCCAGAAGGTGTACTCGGCTCTTACAGTAATCCGACTAAGGGTCCTGACACGGAGTTTTCGTGACGCAATGCAGCCCCCAACTAGACGTTCCAACCGACTGCTATCTGTTGAAGTCGGGCGTTGAGCGGCTGCGCTTTGCTGAGAACAACCCAATCGACACCGCCCTGGACGTGGGTGAATAAATTCTTCAACTTACTATCATTTTGGGATATTCACTATTTTCCATTTTCTATATGGATTTTCTGTGTAAAACCATGGTATAATGAGAAGGAAGTATATCATTACGAGTTCTATACACATCTGTTCGGAAAATAAAATGCTCGACGCAAACACCGTCAGCGGTTGCGCAGACGCGGCCCTGCTAGCGCTAGACGCTTCACTCTGAACGCGCGGTCCGTGCCCTTGCTCAAAGTCCCTGCTCGTGGTGAGGTATGTATGACAGTTGGGGATTTGAGTACTTCACTGCATTTTACTCCACCCTTTACTTCACCGGATCTCATTGTAAAAAACATAGTGCCCGAGACGAGATTTCGTTTCTGTGGACCCTTGGACTACGAGATAGTGCCTGCTGTTAGGTGGGCGGAGTTATCGCGGTAGAGCCGGTATTTTAGACAGAGGGCTTGTTTTCAAAAGTTTTTGCTGTAGAAAAGAGATAATTATCATCTTCATTAAACCAATTAAAACGAAGTAGACGAGAAAAAATATCACATTGATCACAAGGAACCTAGACAACTTCTACTTTTCGAACCTCACCGAAGCTTTTCAGATCAGTATGCTTTCAATGAGAGTAATCATTCCAAATGTAACAACGATATTTCAAAAACAGTGGTTCGTAGTCCGCTGACCGAGAAACCTTTAAACTAAATAAAAGGCACATACGCCACATTTCAACAAACCCATCAGAAAGACTCGTGCTTAAGAGAAAGGTAATGGAAGATTGAAACCTGCAGAGGTCATATTAGTATAGCGACGAGATGTGCGACGACATGTTCCTGAACTTCGTACGGATTTCCATTTTACTAATCGGCTGCATTTATACTCCGCTTGACCAGTGAGCGACGGTTGGCGAGCGTTGGTGTCGACGTCGATCGGCTAATTACATAATAGATATAATAGGTCACCCATGATGCGATTTCACTATAGAGAAGGAAATACTAGCACGAGTTGTGCGGATTATCGATCAAGCAATATATCGATTAATCCCGATGCCATCGTCC